GAGAAACCAGCGGACCTTGTTCGGATCCCTGATGAGTTCTTTCCATTCAATTTCGCACAGATAACCTTGGGAAAATTATTCACCCATCTTTTTTTCTTTCGCACACGGTCTAAATCGCGTAACCGACTAGGATCTTTAAGCACAGTTGGCAACCATTCGAGGAGACTAAAAACCTGGGGAGAGCTGTTTGGAGGCTTCGTGACACACGTAACACCACGTCACGGGTATCAGCTCTTTTTTTTCCCCAAATACTTTGGATGGTACTTAATAAGCCTTCACCACTATAAGCAAATCATATGTGTACGCAGTCTGGGAGTTTCTAAGAACCAAGTGTAAGAGAATGTAACGAAATCTAATAGAATTTGAACTCGGCTCCTTGATTCGGCTTTATTCCGAGACGTTGTCTTTACACCATCACGCATCCACACACACACACACACACACACACACACACACACACATATATATATATATATATATATACATATATATATATATAGAGAGAGAGACAGACAGACAGACAGACAGAGTGAGGGAGAGAGATAAAATAATTGGCACATAATGGACACAATTTAATACGCCACACCATTTTTTACATAATACAAGCGACACCCTATATATATAAGAGGTGATAGACAGAAACGAAGATTATGAATATAATGAGAATATATAGCGATTAGCCTTTGGCTTGAAGACGTTGAAGGGTGTTTAAAAAAATAAACTTTGTGAGCGGGTTCCACACACCAAAACTAGGACAAAAGTAAATATAAATATATGACCGCAAATCCCTCGTTTTTTAATTATTAAGTTTAAAAAAATTACAGTAGATGGCGCGGTGTTGCCATAGGACTAGGTTACATTTGTCATTCGTGTAAATGTATGGCTAGTCTTCAACATTGAACGTGTGTAGTAGTGTCTTAACCGAGAAGTGTTCCTTTTAACATTGAACGTGTGTAGTAGTGTCTTAACCGAGAAGTGTTCCTTTTAACAATGGCAGGATATTCATATCGTTAGAAAGCAGATATGATTTTTGCACACGGCCGCCCGAATGGACACGAGGCTGTAGGGTTGCATCAGATTGCGTCTGCGGGCCGAAGGCAGCCGAACCATTCAACCTTTGCTGCTGTTTATTGTCGCGTTACTAAGACAGGATCTATGACAACACAAACTATGGATCGAGGAAGACAGAGATCCGCTTGTATGCTCGACTACGAAGAACATATTCTACAGGCTGCCGGAGAGGATCCAGGTATGAGCATATATCAAGTGCCCCTATCCGGTCGTATATCTCATAGTACCGCATTTAGGGTACTTCAAGGGCAACACTTGTATCCGTAATATTTGCAACGTGTGCAGGGTCTTTGTCTCTTCAGTTTTGTTTACAGATGAAGCAACATTTGAAAGAATCCTCATCAGCTTAAGATTAATTTGTGGGCTAGATTTGTATTTGACTGCTTGTTAGGCTCATATGTTCTCCCAGCACGTCTTATAGAAGCTGTTTACAGGGACTATTTCTAACACACTTCCAAACCTGTTAGTGGATGTACTACGCATGAGGTTGATGGAGTTCCAGGACTTTTTAAATGTCATTGTTCAGGATAGACTGACTGACATCTACTATGAAAGATGAATTGGTAAAAGAGTACCGGTTGCATGGCCTGTATGTTCCGATGACCTTAATCCATTGGATATTTATGTATGGTGCCACCTAAAACAATTTGTTTATGCAGCGAGCATTAATAATGCAGAAAAACTTCATCAACGTGTCGTCATGGTCTGCGAAACCATACGACATCTTTTGGGAGTATTTGAAAAGGTCCACCAGTCACTGATCCGACGGGTGCATGCGTGTGTAGAAGCAAGAGGTGGACATTTTGAACATTTGTTATGAGTTGCTGTGTTGAGGTCTAATGATAGACTTTTGAACATATATATTTTACCTTGTTTTAGTGTCAGTAACGGACCCCCAAAGTGTATAAAAGTATTTTTTGGATTGTATCTTGCAAAGCGTCTAATGTAAACTTAATTACTTAAAAAAGAAGAATTTACGGATACATGTTTATATGGACTTTTTGTTTTGGCGTGAGGAAACCACCCACAAAGATGCGTAAATTTCAAGATTGGTTATTCCTTAATTTTCGTTTGAGGATGAAACAGGGCTTTTAACTTTAACTCAATTTAATTTTAATAATTATATTGAAGTCTTCAGCCTCGTTTTTGAAACATGAGAACTCTATGTAGCGAAGGAATCATATTTTTAAAAAATAATTATATATATATATATATATATATATATATATATATATATATATATATATATATATATATATATATATATATATATATATATTTTATATATATATATATATATATATATTAGAGAGGTTCAATACTATTTATTAATTTAAATGCCCCTTAAGTAAAAGCATTCCTGATCAAACCAAATTCATGATTATTATGACATATCACTATATGCCTGCAAGATCACACACGTTACATC